GCGGGGAGGCCGGATCGGGCCCTCCCCATGGCGGCACTCCTCCATCACCTCTACGTCAACTCCGCGGCGGGAAGGTCGGATCTGGCTGCGGAGAGGCCGGATCCGGCTTGACGGTGGAGGACGCTCCCCGGTGGCAGTGCGTGGATGGGCTCGCCAGGCTTATCCACGGGTTTTCCTTTTTTTTGTTTTTTATTTGATTAACCGAGGCGGGTAGGGCAACCGCCTAGGTTAAGGCCACGATTAACCATGACCTTTCGGCTGAGGTGGTTTTACCGCCTTGGTTAACCCTTTTTGCCCACCATGGTTAAGATTTCTGTAGTAGTGGCATATGGAACATTAATTAATAAATTATAGTGGTTAAAGTTTCTTGAAAGGGAAAACCTAATAACACATATATAGGGCGAGCATTCTTCATTTTCTATAAACGTTTAATAGTTTTTTTGTTAATGCATGGGCATACGCCTTTGTCCTAAAAAAAAGAAAATAATTCTAATACAATACCTGAGTAAAGTAGCTTAAGTTTAACTAACTATATTAAAAATATTAATATTTATAATGTCAGATAAGTATTGTTAGACTAGTTATGTGATATATTTTCGTAGCATACCTTTTTGTGTCGTTATTAACATTTTACATGTATATTAATATTTGGTTAAATGTTGGATATTTTAATTAAACCTAGAATTGTAGTGTTTTTGGAACGGTAGTATAATTTGTTACTCCCTCTATTCCAAATTATAAGATATTTTGACCTTTCTCGGTGTCTAGTTATTATACACTTAAATATACTATACACCATATCTTGATACTCTCTCCGTTTCAAATTATAAGTCGCTTTGACTTTTTTTTAGTATATCCATTTTGCTATGCATCTAGATACAATAATATGCTTAAATAAATACTCCCTCCGTCTCAAAAAACATATAATTCTAGCGTTCAAATCTTATCTCAAAAAACTCGTAATTCTAAGTTGTGGTTAGCTTTTTGAGTGGGCCCCACCAATAAAAAAAACTACGTCAGAATAATCTAGATATTTTAATGTTGTTGTGTGGTTGGTATTGTTCCACCACTGTCTTGGACTTCCAAAGAATACTCAAAATAGAGGGGGCAAAAGCGTAATTTCACATTTGTGCTAAACTGTCTTTGAAAACCAAGATTCACATGTTTTATGGGTCGGAGGTAGTAGCAAAATAGTTGAACAAAAAAAAATCAAAACGACTTATAATTTAGAATCGATTGAGTACATAATAAAAATAATATACTACCTAAAAAATCAAAATGTGTTACAATTCGAAATGAATAGAATAGAGTATTTTAGTAATATATATATAAAAAAAAACGTGGCAGACCCTGCCGCGCTCCCACTCTTCACACATGTCGCACGGGGAGGCCTCTTGCGATTCCCTGCTGCGCTCGTTCCCGTGGCACAGCCTCAGATCGCTGAGTTGTCCACTGGCTCAGCATCAAACTGATTACTCCGTATTATCATGGACGCTGGACCGCGACACGGCACCAACAGCCCCGGCGCAGCGGATCCGGCCCGCGGCTTCCGGGGGCGGTGCAGCGTCCGGGTCAGACTTGGAGGCATGCCTGCCGTTGTTGAACCGTCGGCTCGGCAAAGTCCAGCGAGAGCACGAGCAGTGTTTAGCAGACCTCTGTCGCTTTCGGCCCTTTTCAGGAGTATTTCTTAATTACTATAATCTCTCTCTGCATAAAAGAGATTCGTACGTAAAATTAATAAAGTGTTTGGTTTAAATAAAGAGATTTTAGTCTATCACCGAAATGCCGCACCGCCTAACTAAAGTCCGTGTGACGCTTATCTCGAGTCTCGAGAGGGAATGGGGAAGATCACGTTGAGATTTTGCCGGTAGAGGACAGATGCTTATTTTTTTCCCTGCCATGCGCCATCAAACAAGTGGCATCGCACATATACCCTGCCCCACAGGGGGATGGGCAGGAATGATTATTGATCGTATCAACATGCTCCAGCGAAAGGTTTGAAATAAAGGCTCTGTTAGTAATGGTTTAGATTTGATGAAATAATCAAATTCGTCCTAAGTTTTTCTTCGAACATATCACTTTCATCTATCCCTCAACTAGCAGACGGTTACTTGTCCTTAAACTTTCTCGTTCAGGCCAAACAATCCTTTGTTATGCTGTGGCGTGCCTAGTTGATGATACATTTGCTTTTCACCAATCTCCCATTTAACAAGTGGTGATATATAAAAAGTCCTTTATCTTCAACCTAGGACCAACATACTTTGGGATGTAAATCAAAACATCTTAAGTTTGACCAATCTATAGCAAATAATACTAATATTTATTTGTGAAATCAGATGAGCATTATATGATACTTTATGGATTATACTTTTCATAAAATACATCTTTAGCGTGTTAGATGTTAATATTCCTCTATATAAACTTTGACAAATTTAGAATGGTTTGACTCAGGATAACTAAAGACCCCTTATATTTTATAATGTAAGCACTATTTTTAATCCTTTCAAATTTTATATTTGTTGATTTGGCCATGCTTATGAACATAATGGATCTTGGTCCATACCCCAATTATCTTTTCCTAGCATTGGCCTATTTTTTGAGGGAAGAGAAATAGAGAATAAGGGACAGTGAGAGAAGACCATAGGCAAATGTTGGTTCAACAAACCCTTTTCCTCGCACTCTCTCAGTTCCTATCTTTCCACTCATTTTTCTCTCATCTTACATCTAATCATGTCTTGGTTGGACGTCCTCTAATCCACTTCAATCTACATATATTGGCGTGGATTGAGCGTAACAAAACAAGCCCGGCCCTCAACATACCTAGATCACTTCACATGTTTCCTACCATGGATCTTTCGATTTATGCCCATTTGGGAAGGCTTCTATTTGCTTTGGACGGGTGATATATACTTATACTAATACAATTAGTCAATTTTCCATGGATTTAGATTTCGGTATGAATAGTGTCAGCGAACAGTGTCAGTTGTGTTAACATATTAATCGATATAGACATCGTATATACCCAACTTTTGAGTATCCATGTACAGATGTGGTACAGATATCAAATGCCCAGATTTAGTTAAGGATTATCTATTTAGTATTTGGAACCCTTTGGTCAGACGATGATTGGAAAATGTTCTGTACCGGTTAATCCTAACTCTGATATATAAGTGCCATTCTAAAATGAACTACGAGCTAGATGAAGCCGTTATTTCTGCTTTATCAACATGTAGAAGTCAGTTGAAGCTAGCCATGTCAAATGGAGCCTACAATTAGGTCATCTACTAGAACATACAACCTTGAAAGCATACTAGACGAGGATACTCGAACCTAACGAATACTCCAGCTATCCACAAACAATGCAATTCCCATATTTTGAGGACAAATTAGTGAACATCTAAACTAACGCATGTATCACTACTGTTTTTAAGACCCATTTGGAACTCATAATTTTCAGAGAAGGCGTATAAGATTTTTCACAAGAACCTGTTCAATTTTAAAGGGTGCCTTAAGGCGTGTTTGGTTTGTTTGGTAGGCATTGTACTACCTTGCCAATTCAGGATAACAAGCGAGCGGTGTGTTTGGATGTCAAGCCAGTTTCCCTTAGAACTTGTGCGAGCCATGCTACCATAAAGAGCTAAATCGGTTCTTCTAGGCTGACAAGTTCTCGTTGTTAGCTCCGCCGAGACAAGGTAAAGTGAGCAAAGAACCAAACACGTCCTTATTCTCTCCATGCACCGGTGGGCTAAGGCAAATCACTACATCCATAAACTTTGCAATTGTTGTCATTATATGCATTTAGATGGCACCCTTTTTAAGGACAACATAGCTATAGTTGATGATAACACAATATATGACACTTTTTTTTCCTTTTTTTGGACTTTATATGACACCTTTCCCAGAGACAACATACCAAAACTAGTATTTATTATATATTCTTTTTGATAGGGTGGGAGTACTTCTAACAAATTATAATAGGATCATCTACACAGATGCCATATAAAGGTAGTACATTAGTATTCCATTCGTCCACAAGAGGATGCAATTCTCGTATTTTGAGAAACCAAATGCTTTTAAGTTTGACCTATTTATACCAAAAAAAATACTAACATTTATTATACAAAATAAATATCATTAGATTCATTACAAAATATATACTTTTTGTAATATACCGATTTGGAGACATAAACGTGAATATTACTCACCGCGAACTTAATCAAATGTGAATAACTTTAAATGGCAAAAAAAAAACCATAGCTGCTTGCTTCCGTGGACTGAGGGAGTACAAGCACTTAAAAACACTTATGTCCCGTTTGGCAGGGCTTCACTTCACTAGTGAAGCTATTTTTTTTTTGCTTGAGCTCCACGAACAGTTCCACCGGTGGAGTGAAAGCGGTTTTGTTAAACCGTTTGGCAAAATGGTTTCCCTGTGAGAGCATGTTTTTAGGAGCCTGGAGGAGGAGCCGGGAGAAGCCACTTTTTTTTTTGGCTCCATCTCACCCCAAATCATTGTGAGAGCATGTTTTTAAAAGCTTCACAAATAAAACTATTTTACTTTATCCTATTTAGTAAAAAATAGCTCCAAACAATTTCTAAAATCACTCAAAAAGCTCTGCCAAACGGGACCTTCCTCGTTACCGCAGACGTGCTAGACAAAAACTCGGCTGCATGCCACGGCAACGGAAAGAAAAAGAAAATCTATCGAATTTGACCTCTCCCCTTTCGCCACCCTTTATTTTTTATTTAATTATTACTGTGGCATCACAATCTCTCACCTCATATGAAATTCGCCGAAGCTCTCTCTCTCCTCCCGCAGCATCCTGCCGTTCGTCTCCGAAGTTCCGAGTCCCCATACGGTCCCCCTCTGCTCTCTCGAAGCCTCGAGACCCCTCACCCCCCTCTCCTCTCGCGCCGCGAGGGATTGATCCGTCCGGCTATCTGGACCCTCCGGCCGGCGCCCGCGCCTGGGAGGCCTCTCCTTCCCCGCCGCACGGGCGGAGATGCTCTCGCTGCAACAGCATCACGGCGGTGCCGTCGCCGGCGGCGGCGGCGACGCGCGCCACCACACGCCGCAGCCGGCGGTGCTCGGCGGAGGCGTGGACTGGCTAGCGTTCGGGGCCCGCGCCGACCTGGAGGAGCCCGCGAGGAATGCCCCGTCGCCCGCCTTGTTCCTTCTTCCGCCCGCGCCGCTCGACGACAGGGCAGCCCAGCCTGAGCCCAAGCCCAAGCCCGGACAGCTCGCAGGAGGTGACTCTAGCTGCAAGCGATTTTTTAGTCGTCTCTTCTGTTCGCAGATTGTGTACGTCCGTGTTTTGAATTTGGGGGAATTCGAGCTTGTGTTCTAAGATCTACCGGTTTCCCTCCCTTCCTTGGTGCTATTGGTAGATTTGAAGATGTCCTTTTTTTTTTCGTTAGGGAAATAAGAATACTAGTACTATGTTGGTGTCACTGCGGAGCTTGTTGATTTGGATTAGAAATTGCAACTTGTAGGCGATCGTGCCGACTCTTTCGACTTTGGACTGGGAGAAGTGGGCATAAAAGGTTCTAGAAGAATATTATAGGCTATCTTTGTTTCTGGTGGTCTATATTCTGTATAGGGTTCAGTGGTTCACACCTTTAGCTCTAGTCCATCTTTAGAAAATTGCAATTTTGGAGGTGGCTTGTATTAGCAGCATAACTTTCTGGGAACTTGATGTCATATCAGTTCGAGAAACAATCTTCTGTCAAACTGTATCGGTTGCTTGTGTAAATCTGACAAACTGCAATCAAGAGCTTTAGATTACTTTGGGGATGATCAAATGTTGATGCTGTTTTGCCATTACGAGTTGCCAACAGGGCTAGTATATTCATCTCCGGGGCTTAGTGAGGATATTGATGGTAGTGACAACTTGGTGGTGATCTGTGAACAATTATTTGCTCTCATGTTAAATTATGAAAAAACATCATATTTGTGGAGACGTGCGCATCCACACATTTGTGGCATTAGCAATTAGTTTAGATTTATTTATAAATCTGTTAGGGTAAATGCGTATTAGCAAGAAATTAAGAAGTATCATCTGTTCCTTGCATGAGTTGAATGGCTTTACATTGTTGATTTCACTGTTTTGAATTCTTCACTGAAGCTTACCCCGACTTGCTTGTGAACAAAAGGCTTTGTTGTTCTTATTAGTCGATATACTGATCGCCAAATAATATAGTTTTGTTCTCCAATGTTTCTAAGTCATATGGGAAGATTTATATGTAAACTGCAAAGAGCACTCATTTCTCATGAATTTCATAAATCATGGCCTGATCGTGGTAATTGCCTTTAGGTCCTGCACCGTGTGCTACTTTCTGATAGGAGTAACTTTCTGCAACCATACACAATATATTTATGTTATAACTGGTGTAAATTCTGTAAGGAATGGATGGATAATTAATATCCATGATTTGGAACTTAGTGGGAGGGAAACATGAACATGAATTATCTTGTTTTGTTCAGATGAAACAAAATTATCAATTGATGCTTACACACAAGGTTTCATTTCACTGTGTTTACATGTATGTCGATGGTAGGCCTGATGAGAATTTTATTGGTTTTGAATGGTGTAGCTGTTGATGAAGAGCGGCATTTGGCACTTGCTCATCAAAACTACAGGTCAGGGAAGTACAGAGAGGCACTAGAGCATGGTAATGTTGTTTACGAGAAGAATCCACGTCGAACTGATAACCTCCTCCTCCTTGGAGCTATATACTATCAGGTGGTTAATTCACTTCATATTCTCCCAGGCATGGATGCTAGCTTTTTCTACCTGACATTATCTAATGTGTTTGAATTCCTTTTCTGTTGCAGATTCGTAATTATGACATGTGCATTGCAAAAAACGAGGAGGCTCTTGCCATAGATCCACACTTTGCTGAATGCTACGGCAATATGGCGAATGCTTGGAAGGTAGTTTTGGGCAAATGTGACAAATATTATTGTGTCTACTATATATATACATGCACCCCCCCCTCCTCTGAAAAACCTTTATTTTTTCAATTATGTCATCGATGTGTTTTTTTTTTTGTGTAGGAGAAAGGCGATATTGATCTTGCAATTCGTTACTATCTTACTGCCATTCAGGTTTGTCTCCGGTCTTATTTATATTTTTCTTTGCCTTTTTGTTACTTTATACCTTTTTATTTTACCTGTTTTCACCGTTTCAGAAGAATTTTATTACTTTTTGGTGTTTGATGCTCATCTAAGATGACTAGGTAGTGACTAAATGCTGCACAATAGATGGTGGCAAACCGCCTAACACCTAGTTTAGGGGGTCAACACTTCTCTAGACACACTGCCCACATAGGCGGTCCTGGATAGCCTATCCAGGTCCAGCCATGTTTAGGTAGTTCTTGATGGTGCCTGGCGTGACTAGGTGGCTGTACTGAGGTGGAGATCGACATAGTGTGCAGGGATGAAATTTGATTCACTTCCAGGTGGCCATCTTTTGGATTTGTGGTCACACAATGATGGACCGAGTTCGGAACGATGATATACGTGACCGTCTAGGGTTAGCACCAATTGAAGAAAAGCTTGTTCAACATAGGTTGAGGTGGTTTGGCCATGTCCAAAGGAGACCTTCAGAGGCACCAGTGCATTGTGGAATCCTAAGTCGAGATACCAATGTGAGGAGAGGTAGAGGAAGACCGAAGCTGACATGGGGGGAGGCAATAAAAAGAGATTTAAAGGGTTGGAGTATACCTAGAGATCTTTGTTTAGATAGGAGTGCTTGGAAAGTAGCAATCGACGTGCTTGAACCGTGACTAGGGGCTCATGTTGGGTTTCAACTCTAGCCTACCCCAACTTGCTTGGGACTAAAGGCTTTGTTGTTGTTGTTGTTGTTCCAGGTGGCCATCTTACCCAGAATTTCAGGCTTTTAGCTCTCCAGTCCCTTGTGTTGTTGTACATCTGCCTCCAGCTCTGCTGCTCTTCTCCCCCATCTGCCGCAACAACAAGCCCATCCTCCTCACATCTGTGCTGCTTGTGTTGTTGTTTGGTGTTGTGGCTTGTGCTGGCTGCTTCTGCTTGTGGTCTTATATGGGCTAAGGCTCTGAAAATGTAAATGTATGATTGTATGTACTGCTAGCATGGTAGTTCAAGCTTTGTGCTAGACCGCTAACAACAATAACATAACCTTTCAGTCCCAAGCAAGTTGGGGTAGGCTAGAGTTGAAACCCACCAAGAGCCCCAAGTCACGGTTCAGGCACTTCAATAGCTGCTTTCCAAGTACTCCTATTCAAACATAGATCTCTAGGTATATCCCAAGCTTTCAAATCTCTTTTTATTGCCTCCCCCCATGTCAATTTCGGTCTTCCTCTACCTCTCCTCATATTATTAGCTTGGCTTAGGACTCCACAATGTGCTAGGCCGCTAGCTCTAGTAAAAAGCATGGAGACTAAAAGTAATCCAGGTGCTGTCTAGACATCCTAGCCACTAGTTGTGAGGTGATTGTGTAGTGTCTGGGTGTACATGAGCGACTGCTTCATAATGCAATGATATGCAGTTCTCCTGTGTATTCAAGAAAAAGAAACATGAACGTACTGATACTTGGATTAGAGGCACAATAAAGCAGTACATTATTTAAGAAATGTTCCAATCAACTCCTCACTGTCCCCCACCCCCCCACCTCTGAAGATTCCATTTTCGGGGGCATCTTCACTCTACACTCTAGTGGACATGTGATGTGGTCTTCACAAGCTCCTTGTCTTTGCTTTGTGGATTCATGTTTGTAATCTTCTACTACAATCCTTGTCCAGTTGACTTTTGATTGTTACAAATAAATGGCCCTCACTGTCTTTTTTCTGTTAATCTTTCTAGCTGCGACCAAACTTCTGTGATGCATGGTCAAATCTTGCTAGCGCATATACCAGGAAGGGGAGGCTGAATGAGGCAGCTCAATGCTGTAGACAAGCACTTGCTATAAATCCTCGATTGGTACGTACATGTGTTCAAGTTAGTAGTTGTGCTTGTTTGTGAACTGATGCCATTTTGTGCCTGACTTAGGTTGATGCACATAGTAATCTTGGAAATCTGATGAAAGCTCAAGGTTTCATTCAAGAGGTGAGCAACTTCATTTTCTGGCCTTTTTACCTGTCACTATTTTGTACTAAAAGTTTCTTCTTTGCACTCAGTTTTCACCATTGTTTCCGTGCATTTACATGTTCTTGTCTATAATGTTGTTTCGTGTGCATGTGTATCATCTTATTTGTTCCATATATAGTTCTACATTTCTTGTTGGTAGATTAATTGCATTTGTAGTTTTCGCAACACAGTATAACTTCTCCAAACTATCACAAAACTAAAGATCTTATGAACTCAGTGACCCATATCCACGGTCAAACATTTGCACTCCACTTGCACCACTTGCGGTGACACAGATCAATACTCTTAGACATACATATTGAAGTGCACTAAATATGCAGTTCTTTGGCAAATGGCCTTATTTTGTACTGCTATAGAATTGGCACTAACTTGTTAAAAATGGTCTTAAAATATGTTGTTTGTCATGTTTGGTTAGTTTACCTGCACTTTGTGAAAGGTTAATGAGATTTATGCCATTTCGATTTTGCCAGTTTTAAAAAATGCTACTATAAAGGTTGAAATTGGGACCAGTGCGATTATAATTTGCCTCTGGTTTGAAGTATGCCATTTCTATGCCTCTATACCTCTGGATCTACTTTTAGGCTTTCTTTTTTCCGTATGGTGAATGAACTAAGATACACTGGTCTAGGGTGGCTTTGACATCTTCTAATTCCTAAATCCTTGCTTTGCTCCATGATCGGCAGCAAGAGCATTACATGAGTTAAACCCGTCTCCAACTCCTTTAATCTGTCCATGAACGCTGCCACTAACTGGTTGTGGGTTGGGCCACTCCATTATGCTGGTCTTCCGCCTCCCCCCTGTGCACACATTCCTCCACCGCCTTGCTAGCTGCTGCAGGGTGATGGAGGCATACTTCTCATGGCGACAACCGTCTGCCACGTCCACTTCCAACATGAGCCCCTGTGCGCTGTGCGCTGCCATCAGATGAAGGGCAGCCCAGTATGGATTTTGCAGCTCCATGCCTGAGGTGGGATCCCTTGTGACTATTTCCATGGACTCTTTGTCATGGGGTTCTCCTGGTGCACCGTGGAACTCTGTGCTTTGTCTGGTGTGCCACCGTGGGAAGTAAAGGAAGGGGAGCTTGGGCTTTTCCTTTCACAGATCTAGCTTCTCTATGCCTTACCTTATTGTCGCTATCAGTGTGCTCCATGGTGCGGTTCGAGGAGTGCCCTTGTGCACCAGCACTACAGATCTGGAGTGCTGGAAGGGAGGCTGCAGCCGTGATGCATGTGTGGTTCCAGTTCGCAGCCGTAGGCTTCCTCATGCTGTCATGTGGCATTGAGGCATTTGGGCTGCTCGCCCTCGGCTGCCTGTCCTTGTTGGCCAAGAATTGGGTCGATCTGTTCTGGATATCTCAGTAGAGATTGGAGTTACCCCGTTTTCGTTTTCTTTCTCCAATTGTATCAAGTAGGAATAATGAATTAGAGGAAGAAGATAAGACTAAGGAAGAGAATGTCAGTAGTTAGCCTAGTGTTCATGTTTTCCAGTTACCTACTATAGCTATTTACTATTCACTGTCATGTAATTTTTCAGGTTCCTTGGCAACCAAGTTGATCATGGTGCCTTGGCAACCAAGTAGGAATCATAGCATCTGCTTTATGCAGTTAGAATATGCTAAGGAGTAGGTACATCACTTGCTTATATATGTAGTGGCTAGCATCTTTTTGTATCTAAGTTGTTATTGCGATTCAATACAATCCAAGCGGCTGTTGGCCAAGGCGCCTCTGGCGATTTTGATTCTACTTTGTGCCGAATTACGTGATCCGGTGATCTACGCCAACAATTGGTACCAGAGCTCGAGTTGAGAGAAAAAGGAGAGGCATGGCCACCTCCGCAGAGAGAGAAAGAAGAAGCGGCCGCCGCCGCCGAAAGCAAAAGCGGCGCGCAGCGTCTTGCGCTGGCAGAGGCCCGCACCGCAGAGAAAGCGAGAGGCCGCGGAGGCCGCGCAAAAGAAGAGCTTCGGAACGCGGCCGCCACGCCGCGGCTCTGCGTCGAGAGTTGGTGGAGGAGGATCCGCGCATGATCGCGCGCCGCTCCATGGAGGAGGGAGGCCGGAGCGAGCGCAGCAGACGTGGTCACCCGTCGGGATCGGGGGATCGATCGCCATGGCGGATGGGCTGGGGCCTTCGCGCCGTGATCCGCACCGTATACAAGGATTTCGCTCAAGCTCCACGGCCGATGCTCACCAAGTCAAATTACCATGAGTGGGCCTCGATCATGAAGTTGAAGCTCAGCGCGGCAACTACGGGGACGCGATCGAGTACCGGGACTGCCGTACCATGAGGACGCGCGCGGTGGAGGCGATCATCGCCGCCGTGCGCGCAGGAGATGCAGATCTGCATTGTCGAGAAGGATCGGCCAAGGAGGCTGGGACTCCATCGCCGCCGCCATGGATCGGCGTCGATCGGGCGCGCGCGCGCCACGCCCAGCGACTCGCAGCGATCGGGAGAAGCTTCGCCCGTCCGGGTGAGTAGATCGAGGACTTCATCCTTCGCTGATGGCCCTGGCGGCGAAGCAGCGGCTTCTCCACGGCGACAACGACATCGATGAAAGAGCGCGGTGGAGAGGCTCTCGCAGCGCGTGCCGCCGGCACGCCAACTCCGGATCGCCATCGAGATGCTTCTCGACTTCTAGGACCTCACCATCGAGGGAGGTGTCTGGGTGTTTGAAGACGGTGGGCGACATGGAGGCGCCGTCGCGAACCCGCCGCCATCGTGATCTGCTCACGACAAGGGAGCGATGGCGTGCCAAGGAGAGGAGAGAGGCCGCCGCTTCCGCGTCGAGCAAGGAACCGCGACGTCGCCCACGCGCGGCAAGAAGAAGCGGCGCGGGAAGGGCAATCGCGGCGGAGGAGAGAGAGGCGGTGGCGACGATCGCGGGCGGACGACGACACCGCCTCAATCGTGGTGATCGCGCCATGGGGCGCGCGATCGCCGCCACCGCGCTGCGGTGGTGGTGGTGGTGGTGGCGGCGGCGGGTGGCAACCAACGCGAGGAGGCAACCGCGTTGGAGGTGATCGAGGTGCACGGCGGCGGTGGTGGGCGTGGCGGTCCGCGCGACGCCGCAGAGGCGGAGGACGATGATGGTGCTCTGTTCCTCGCCCACGGCTTCCTCGAGCTCGACGAGAAGGCTGAAGCCGTCTGCTCCAAGGCCACGGCTTCTTCGACATCAACGAGCCAGCAGCGCGTGTCTTCCTCAACACCGCGCCAACGCCAGCGAGGCGCTCGATGGTCGGTACCTCGGCAATGAGGGCCACGCATCACATGACCCGCCACGGGAGCTCTTCGCCGAGCTCGACGACACCACGGCGCGCGCGGCACGGCGGTGTGTTTCGGCGACTTCGTCTCGAGTGGAGATCAAGGGACCGGCTCCATCGTCTTCGAGCCAAGAATGGGGGAGCGCCGCGTCCTCCATGGCGTCTTCTACATTCCGGCAGCTCCGGAACTCGATTATGAGTTTGGGGCATTTCGACGAAGGAGGCTCTGTGGTGGAGATTGAACATGGAGTGCTCCGATCTAGGACCGGCGTGGTCGTCTTCTCGCCAAGGTACATCGCGGGCCCGATCGGTCAGACATCCACGCACTTGAGGAGGAGGCTGGGGCGGTGTGTCTTGCCGCCGGGGAAGGAGGACGAGTCATGGAGGTGGCATGAGCGCCACGGGCATCTAAACGAGGTATTGCACCAGCTCGGCAAGCGAGGAGATGGTGAGGGGATGCGGTGATCAAGCATGCGAGCAAGTCTGCGACACTGCGTCACCACCAAGCTCGCCGCAAGCAAGCGTTTCGAAGAAAGTAGTGATCGCAAGCAGTGTGCCTGGACCTCCCCCGGCGACTTGTGCGGGCGGGGACGCGCGGACGGAGGGCGCCGCTACTTCTTGCCGATGGTGGACGACGCCACCCACTTCATGTGGGCGGTGCTTCGCCGACCAAGGATCTTCTTTGCGGATGCCGTGAAGCGGGTGAAGGCCAAGCGAGAAGGAGACCGGCCGTGAGCTCAAGGTGTTGCGGACCGACAATGGAGGAGAGTTCACCGTGGGCGGTGGCAAGATTTCGCCGCCGGCGAGAGTCAAGCGGCACTACTACGCACCACACTCACCGCAATGAGCGGTGTGGTGGAGCGGCGTAATCGACGGACGGTCGTGGCGACGCGCACGCGCGCCTCAAGCGAGAGGTCCATGCCGCCAAATTTGGGGAGGCGGTGATGACGGCGGTGCATCCGCTCAACCGCAGGCCGACAAGAAGCTTGCAAGGCAAGACCCCTATGAGGGCCGGCACGACGGATGAGCGCCGGCGGTGAGCTATCTGCGACATTCGTCATTGCGTCGCCTACACAAGCGAAGTTTTCGGCAATTGCGCAAGCTCGACGACCGTGGCAAGGTGGGGTCTTCATCGGCTACGCCGAGGGCGCCAAGGCCTCACCGGGTCCTCGATCCGCGACGGGGGACGCGCCAAGGTGAGCCGCGACGTGGTGTTTGATGAAGGCGTGGTGGGATTGGTCCAATTTGGCGCGGGACGCTCGCGCCGCCTCCAGCCGACTTCGACATCGAGTTCGGGAGTCGACGCAGACGGAGCTCCGCCGCCCACGCTGGCGTCACCGGCCTGGGGAGCACGATCACCGCCTCTCTCGCTCACACGCAGCGGAGACCGAAAGCAAAGCGGACCGATTGAGTTCGCGTCACGCGCCGAGGACGACGGACGATCGCTTTGACGCTTTCACGACGGCGGCGGTGCATTGCGGTACCGCACCATGCCCAACATCGTCGGGATGCGCCCACACCGCCGCCGGCTTCACGTCTCTTCGCCGAGCTTCACCTCACGCACGTCGGCGAGCCGGCCAACTTCGCAGCGGAGGTCAAGGCGATCTGCACTGGTAGCCGCCATGGAGCGAGAGATCAAGGCGGTTGAGCGAACCGCACGTGGGAGCTTGTGGAGCTTCCTCCCGCCACCGCCCATCACTCGAAGTGGGTCTACAAGCTCAAGAAGGACGAAGCGGGCGCGGTGACCAAGTACAAGGCGCGCTTGGTGGCGTTCGACGACGCGTTTGCTCCCGTGGCGCGCATGGAATCCGTCCGAGTCCTCGCGCTGGCGGCCCAAGAAGGATGGCGCGTCCACCACATGGACGTCAAATCGGCCTTCCTTAACGGCGACCTCAAGGAGGAGGTACACGTGAAGCGACCCTTTGGCTTCACCGTCATGGGAAGGAGAAGTTGGTGTACCGTCTGCGCAAGGCTTTGTATGGCCTCTGGCGAGCTTCATGAGCTTGAGCGCCAAGTCGGACGCCACCCTCAAGGAGATGGGTTTCAAGAAAGCGACCATGAAGCTGCGATGATGTACAAAGCGAGAACAGGGGAGGAGCTGCTGCTGATCGGCGTCAATGTTGACGACTTGATCATCATAGACTTGATCATCACCGGCAAGCCAAGCCATAGAAGGTTTCAAGGCTCGAGATGAAGAAGGTTTTCGACATGAGCGACCTCGGCCTCTGCCCCTCCTTCACCGGGGTCGAAGTACACCAAGATCCAGCTGGGATCACTCTGAGGCAAACCCATTATGCCAAGAGGATCCTTGAGCTAGGAGGTATGGATGCCTGCAACCCTGCCCATACACCAATGGAGGAGCGGCTGAGGTTGAGATTGGTGGCAGCAGCACTGCAAGCTGAAGTTGATCCCACCCAACACCAAGCCGCCATCATCAAGATTGGTGGGCAGCTTGCGCTACTTGGTCCACACAAGACCTGACTTAGCCTTCTCAGTAGGCTTTGTCAGTCGATTCATGGAGAACACCAAGCTGCCATCAAGCGCATCCTGAGATATGTGGCTGGTACTCTGGAGTTTGGCCTGCACTACACTAAGGCTCCAGGGAGAGCAAGGTTTGTTGGGTACTGCGACAGTGACTTGGCTGGGGACATTGACACCAGCAAGAGCACTAGTGGCACCCTGTTCTTTCTGGGAAGCAATCTTGTGTGCTGGCAGTCAGTGAAGCAGAAGGTGGTGGCTCTATCTAGTTGTGAAGCTGAGTACATTGCCACTACCACAGCTGCAACACAAGCTATTTGGCTATCCAGGCTGCTGGCAGACCTCCTTGGAAGGAATGTGGAAGTGGTTGAACTGAAAGTTGATAGCAAGTCTGCACTTGCTCTAGCCAAGAATCCAGTCTTTCATGAGCGCAGTAAGCACATCAGAATCAAGTATCACTTCATCAGAAACTGCTTGGAAGATGGAAGTATCAGGGCTTGCGGCGTGCCAAGGTGGAAACGTCTGTGGCAGAGAGGAAATGTGCCCAGCAGGAGAAGGAATAATGATGGCTTGCGGCGTGCCAAGGTGGAAACGTCTGTGGCAGAGAGGAAATGTGCCCAGCAGGAGAAGGAATAATGATGGCTTGCGGCGTGCCAATTTCTGACGCCTCTGTCTGCCTTTTGGAGTCCTGGGCACAACTAAGCTAACCCTACCACTAACCCTACCAGGCCAAATTGGCAGCTGAATAGCCACCCTCAGAGGCCAGTTGAGCAGGCCTGCGAATGGACAACAGCCAACCTGGTGGTCCACTCCCTAGTCCCTAATCGAATGACTAATCGCAATTTATCAACGATTAGTCAGACGGCCAGGAACCTAGTCAAGATAATCACCTCGGTACCCTTAACCAAGTTCAAGGGACCAATTACGATTACTCGGACGACTTGTAAACATTGGTTCCAAACATACACTATGGCATGGTTCTAATATCCACAAAATTGTAATGGCACCGGTCGTACTTTGACATTTATAATGTTGTATTTCTTGTAATGGTATGAATCTCAAGATCATCTTTTATATTTATCTGTTGGCTTCAGCACTTGAACTCCCCTGGTGTAGACTGATAGCTTTGTGATTTGACATGTTGATTGTAATAACAGGCATACAGTTGCTACATCGAGGCGTTGCACATAGATCCTCATTTTGCAATTGCATGGTCAAACCTTGCTGGTCTGTTTATGGAGGCAGGAGACCTCGACAAAGCTTTAATGTATTATAAGGTAAATGCTGTGACTACTTATTTGACTATTACACTGCTCCCTCTATCAAAATATATAAGGCGTACATGTATGTCAAGATTCAAACCTCGTTATCTTTGACCAGCAAGTAGTCTAATTATATAAGAAATTTTGAGCTACAAAAATGGTTAGATTGGGATTGTATTTAGAAATACTTTCTAATGATCAAACTTCTGTTTCCACAAATTATATGTTATAAGAGACCCGAGTGGTTGAAGTGTGATAAAACCACACCAAGTCAAATTGCGCCGTTGTTTTGGTGTGGAGGGAGTACTTTAGGTCACTTATGCTTATTTCATAGTTTATTGAGGTCCCTTATGTACTGAATTGTATTTTTTGTGGTGCATGTGAAGGTCATAGATCATTTTATTTACATGGAATCTAGGAGAGATGGAAGTTACTTCATGCATTTGCCATGGCATGATGGTTTATTTTGGGCTAAATTGTGCTGTCACTTCCTAGCATCATGTTTTGGTTTTGAGATTCGGATCTTCCTTTAGTGATTACTTTTTGCTTCATGGCTCTTCTGTGCCTTGCAAATCTACCGAAATAGTGCTTTCTCATTGTAATGAAGGGAATTTAAACTTCTCTTGAAACTTGCAGGAAGCTGTTAAGCTTAAGCCATCTTTCCCCGATGCATATCTTAACCAAGGGAATGTTTATAAGGTAAGTCTATAGGTTGTGACACAAGTATCCTTCAAGAGAATGCAGGGATAACTTCACTCTTGGAGGGAAACTGGATCTTATATATTTTGGTTCTCCAGGCTTTGGGAATGCCTCAAGATGCCATTATGTGTTATCAACGTGCACTGCAGGCACGTCCTGACTATGCTATGGCTTATGGTGAGATTTGATTCTTTTTTTAATTTGCCAAACCCTGGCCTCTGCATCAGGGTATTATTTTTTTTAAAACTTTTTAACTTTTAGCACAAAAATAAAAGTAAATACTGATTAAAGATTATCCTTCGAGTTCATTCATTTAGATGTTCGTCTCGGGTGAGATGCGAACAAGCTTACAAGAGAATGGTCCTTTCTTTACCTTCAAAGTAGAGCCTTAGTATACCTCGTAATACAAAGGTAGGGGGAACATTTTCGTGCAGGTAATCTTGCTACTATTTACTATGAGCAAGGCCAGCTTGATATGGCAATTCGCTGTTACAATCAAGCTATAGTCTGCGACCCACAGTTTGTTGAAGCATACAACAACATGGTTAGTCTCTGATCCACATTTTGTAAACTATTTTTATGTATAAATTGAACAACTAGTTCACAATTTATATCTCTGTAGGGCAATGCACTTAAAGATGCTGGAAGAGTAGAAGAAGCAATCAACTGCTACAGAGTATGTTTTCTTGCTATTGGTTTTACTTGTTCTACATGTTGCTCATGTTGTGATCTAGTTGTATTTGTGCAGTCCTGCCTTGCACTGCAAGCAAACCACCCGCAAGCCCTTACTAACTTAGGAAACATATACATGGAGTGGTGAGATTCTTATATGCACATATTCTTAATATGAATGGAAATAAACTTTTATCTGACTTAAAAAAAGATGCAAGTGAGCTCATGATGACAAAAAAATATGATGCAGGAACATGATAAGCGCTGCTGCTTCATTTTACAAAGCAGCTATATCTGTGACATCTGGACTATCTTCCCCACTTAACAATTTGGCTGTGATATACAAGCAACAGGTGGTTTTCTTTCTTTCATTTTGTCTGATCATATTGTAGCTGTAGGACAACAAAGTTCCTATTCTAATGTTCAAATTAAATGATTGGTTGAACAATATCCAAGACCCACACCTGCTGTTTCTATCTCTGATTTCTCTATTTTGTATATGCACCAGGGAAACTATGCTGATGCTATCGCATGTTACACTGAAGTACTTCGTATAGATCCTACAGCAGCTGATGCACTAGTTAATAGAGGGAACACATTCAAAGAGATTGGCAGAGTTAATGAAGCAATTCAGGATTATGTTCAGGCAGCAACAATTAGGCCAAACATGGCAGAAGCCCATGCCAACTTGGCCTCAGCATACAAGGACAGGTATTCTATGAATCTCAAGCCTATGCAGTGTTAATGTACTGCATTTAATTTCTGGCATCATTTTTTTATTTCTGTTGTATAATATAGTAATGTAATCTTTTTGCAGTGGGCATGTAGAAACAGCTATAGTTAGCTACAAACAGGCTCTCCGGCTGCGTCCTGATTTTCCTGAGGCAACCTGTAATCTCCTGCATACTTTACAGGTATCTTGCAATTTCTCTCTACCCTTTAAATGCATTTGTGAAATAAAGATTTAAATAAGACTGTAAACTCTTGAGGAAATAAAAGATATGTTACAACATATTCATCTTTATGTTGTGTCTGCTACTTATGCAAATTAATACAGCAGATGTGTGCAAACATGCAAGGACATTGATGCAAAGCACTGCTCAATTGTGAGTTAACAGTGGTCATGTAGGTTAGTGGCTTAGTATTATGTTGACCCTGCAAAACCTGCTAGGCTGCTACCTGCATTAGGATTAACTTCAGGCTCTTCCATCGGATTATTATCTCAGCTCTCACCTTTGCTGCCTTTATAATCCTGTATCCTGTATTGTTGAAGTTTTGGTTCAGTGATTTGAAGCAACTGACCTTTTAATAGGGATGGCTAGCCTACTAATGTGTATCGTTTTCTTTGCATTACTGCAGTGTGTCTGTGACTGGGAAAACAGAGATACCATGTTCCGTGACGTTGAAGAAATTATTAGAAGGCAAATAAAGGTGCCCTTTATAAAAATGAATGAAATTTCATTTTTAATAATGGGGAATTCTTTTCCTGCACAACTAATATCTTTTGTCCTTTTTCCTACAGATGTCATTACTTCCAAGTGTCCAACCTTTCCATGCCATTGCTTATCCTATCGATCCAATGCTTGCTTTGGAAATAAGGTGAGTTTCACTGTACATTTTGCTGGTCTTTAATTAAAGAGTGATGTCCGATTTACCCCCGAAACATGTCGTTGAATTTAAAAAGCACCCTCGGACTCAAATACTGGACAACTTACCCCCTCATGTTAGGTGGTCTCTTTCTTTTATATCAAAAAATCATCACTTTTTCATATTGAGTCAGATGAATACAAACTTTATATCAAAATGGTAGAGCTCGATGCGATCTAAACTTTCTAGTTGATTTTTTTTTTCCATTTGAGATAATTTAGGAGCTCAAATATTCAATAAAAGATGGTATGACTTAAAAAACTGAAGACATGTAGGGCCCACATGCCACATCAACCAAAACCACCATCGAAATCACTCTGAACTATTTTAGGGGTGGTTGTTTATCCGGTTTGAAAGTTAAGGGGTATGTTGTCCGGTATTCGAGTTTGAGGATGTTTTTAAAATTCAGTGACAAGTTCCCGGTGGGGTGGGGGTGGGTGGGGGTGACATAATTTACTCTGAATTAAAATACATCCTTTCCTTTTTTTAATATATAACCCTTTTCATTGACAGCCGTAAATATGCGGCCCATTGTTCCTTGATCGCCTCTCGTTTTGGTCTGCCGCCTTTTGTACATCCACCTCCTGTTCCTGTAAAAGCAGAGGGTAAACACTGCCGACTGAGAGTAGGGTATGTACACAAACTTTCTTTTGTACATTAAATTCGAAAGATTTATCTAACAGCAGAATAAATGGCCTTTCCATGCTACAGATATGTGAGTAGTGATTTTGGAAATCACCCCCTTTCCCATCTCATGGGATCAGTATTTGGAATGCATGATCGTGCCAATATCGAGGTTGTTTTATTTCCATTAAACCTCCTCCCTCCCTTTTCACATTATGTTGTGGTTCTCTCTCTGACCCATGATGGAATGGCAGGTCTTTTGCTATGCACTCAGTCAAAACGATGGTACTGAATGGAGGCAGCGTATTCAGTCTGAGTCAGAACATTTTGTTGATGTTTCTGCCATGACTTCTGATAGTATCGCTAGACTTATCAATCAAGATAAAATACAGATATTGATAAATCTTAATGGCTACACAAAGGTAATAAATAATGCTGTCCATTCGGTGAATAGTTTGTCAATTCTTGATATCTCAGTTATTGTTTCGGTTGTTCAGTTTCTTCAAATGATTGTCTTTTGCTTTTCTCGTGTTGTAATGTGTATCCTTGGTTCTTCTGGGGCAAATTGTTTATTGTGACTTTTGAGGATTGTGATTGCTATTTCGTTGAAACCACTGATATCTATTATTGGTGTTACATAGAATTAGAAGACCTTGCCATTAGAGATGGCAACGGGGATTTCCCCATCGGGGATTGCTTGCCCATCCTCGTCCCCGTGAAGAGTCTCCCCATCCCCGTCCCCGTCCCCGTCACCGCTGTCGGGGAGCGCTTTCGCCCCATCCCCGTCTCCACGTGGGGAATAATCCCGTTAGGGCTCCCTGTCCGTGCTTTCATGTGCTCTCGTGCTCCTCCATGGCCGCCTCCACTCACGGTCTTGAACAGATGCCTTCTGGTGCAGAGCTTAGAGACAAGGAGCTTCGCTTCGCGTTGCAAAGCTTGGAGATGAAAATAGAGGAACTCACAAGCGCCTAGTTGTTCCAGGGTCATGAGCCATCAATGTCGGAGCTCATAGATGCTCTGCTGAGTGCTGACACGCGCCACAGTTGCGTGCTTTCTCAGTCGCCGGCACGGAGCCATACCGCTGCCTGCAGCCACAGCGACGCCCTGCTCCTCGGCGACTTTCGTTCCGGAGACAGGAGCGAGCGTGTGGTTTTCGGACGGCCGCCACCAGACCCGAGGTCCTGACTCCCTTGTCCATCGGATAAGGTTGGATGGACTGGGCAAGCGGCGCCTTCCTGGGCTGAGCATGGCTTGGTGTGGCAATGGGCCAAATTGGGCCTTATAATTTACCTTTCACTGCAAATCGGTACTACATTTTTTGTAAATGGGGATCCCCGTGGGGATCGGGTCCAGGGAATGGTCACCCGTTCCCGTCAGACCCGACGGAGGACAAATTTTCTCCGTTTCTATCCCCTGGGGAGAAAAATCTTCCCATCCCCGTCCCTAATAGGGGAATTCCCCACGGGGAATAGGGGATCGGTTCCCCTTGCCATCTTTACGTGCCATGGAGGCATGGAATTTTGTTGTTTTATTAAAAAACAATAAATTTACATTGAAGTTGGGGAATCAATGTAATTTTGTTAATTTTAACACAAGGTGCAATTTGTTATATTGTTTGTCTGTACACAGCCTTACACTGATATTAGGTGTCCTTGTGTTGCTATTTGCTGTCTGACATGTACTTGATGGAAACAGGGTGCCAGGAATGAAATTTTTGCATTGCAGCCAGCACCTATCCAAGTTTCGTACATGGGGTTCCCTGGAACAACGGGTGCTGCATACATAGACTACTTGGTCACAGATGAGGTACGTGAGCATCTACGGTTCTTGCCTAACAGTTAATTAGCTTAAGTGATTTATTTTGAATGCTGTTTGTTTTAAATGGTCTTGCAGTTTGTTTCTCCAACTAGATATGCACATATATATTCAGAAAAGCTTGTCCATTTGCCTCATTGCTATTTTGTCAATGACTACAAGCAGGTTTGTCTTCATGCTTCTTCATGTCTTCTTTTCCTTTTTTTTTCATTAATGATATGTGATATAAATTTCAAAACATGTTCTGTACCAGAAAAATCGAGACTGTCTCACTCCTGTATGTCCACACAAAAGATCTGATTATGGATTACCTGAGGATAAATTTATTTTTGCTTGCTTCAATCAGCTTTACAAAATGGATCCTGAGATATTTGACACATGGTAAGTGTCCACTATCTACATGCTCCATGTGTGCACTGCACGTTTGAGGCATGTGTTTTTGGTTTTAGATTTCCCAATGGTGCTCGATGAATTAGATTGATCAAACTAGATTTATTTACTTTTTTCACTGGACTATTCTTTATTATGTATTGCTACTAATATTTTGCTCTCAATTCTTTCTTAAGGTGCAATATTCTCAAACGTGTTCCCAACAGCGCATTATGGCTCTTAAGATTCCCGGCAGCTGGTGAAACTGGAGTGAGAGCACGTAAGTACACTTAAGAGGCTCCTATTGTTTATTTTTCACTTTTTAATCTATCTTGTAAACGAAAGCTTCAAATGAAGACGGTTTATTCGACATCTGCAATGTTCCCTCACACCCTTTCTATACAGATGCTACTGCAAGAGGAGTAAGATCAGATCAAATTATATTCACAGACGTTGCCATGAAAAATGAGCATATACGACGCAGTGCACTGGCAGACCTTTTCCTGGACACGTATGAAGTTCTTCATCTATTATTCTTTTTTCAATCATAAGCTGAAAACATAAAATTAATTTACACTGTCCTCGTGATTTATCTGGATCAGCCCCCTCTGCAATGCACACACAACAGGCACTGACATACTGTGGGCTGGTCTGCCAATGATCACCCTTCCACTAGAGAAAATGGCAACCAGAGTAGCTGGTTCCCTTTGCGTAGCTACTGGGCTTGGGGAGGAGATGATTGTTAGCAGGTAAATATGGATAAAAATACCTATTTAGATATTATAATTGAATGGTGCGGAGGCTTACTTCCTTTTTGTGCCAGCATGGAGGAGTATGAAGATAGAGCTGTAAACCTTGCGCTAAATCCAGTGAAGCTTCAAGCATTGACTAACAAGCTCAAGGAAGCTCGTATGACCTGCCCGTTGTTCGATACAGCTCGATGGGTAAGTTCTTGCAATCAATATCCCTGAACAATCATGGTCTCAGTTAGTCTTGAATTCTGATCAACATTACATGCAAAATGTCTCAGGTGCGCAATCTTGAAAGGGCTTACTACAAGATGTGGAACCTTTACTGCTCCAGTCGCCACCCGGAGCCATTCAAGGTGTTAGAGGATGACAATGAGTTCCCGTTTGACCGCTAACGAGATTTCATCACCAGCCCCGGCTCTGTAAATAAGGCGAGAGTTGTAGCATATTTAGCATTGTGACCGCTCCAGGTGCTTGTTTGCCGCCGCCTGTCCTGCTGTGCACATCACCTCTGTGGAGGCTAACTTGTGTAGTATGTACACTACAAAAGTCCTAGGGCTAGCCTGTATTGTTATCATTATTGTTACCGAGCTCTATTTATTAGTAACGAGCCATAACTGTTATCAGGTTGTTACTTTGTATTGCAGTCGTGGTTTATAAAATAATCTGTAACCATAAAGGGTGTCGATGTGAAATCTCATTCTTAGTAACTTCTGTCCACTGAATTTTGTCATGGGGTTTGCCGGCTGCCGGCATTTGACTCGGCGAATGTGGCTTATTTGCTGAAGGGTGGGCCTGGTGTAAGCGGTAGAGTGTGACCGGAAGGTCCCGGGTTCGAGTCGCGGTCTCCTCGCATTGCATAGGCGAGGGTAAGGCTCGTCATTGACACCTTTTTCCAGACCTTGCACAAAGTAGGAGCTCTTTGCACTGGGTACGCCTTTTAATGTGGCTTATTTGCTAGCAGCTACATGTGAATGGCATCGTTAGTCTAACAGGAGTTTGTAGTGTTCTTGAAGCTTTGTTTGATTTGGTGATTTGAGACAACTGGAGTCTGTTGGGAAAATGAATTTTCTTTGGTAATAAAACGAAAGATCCAAATGCTCCATATAGTTGAACTATGTGCTCTAAATTTTGATTTTCAGGTAAGTCAGCCATTTTTGCAACTATTACCTTGTGCGCAAGCAAATGAATCTGTTGGTGTTTAGCTGATGGAATTGAACTTCTGATGGAAGAAAGAGGCTAGCTATAATTAGTGTCACGGAACTGTAAATAGATAGGCTAATTTCATAATGGATATTGTGCTCTGGCGATGCCTAGAATCTACGCGTTCTGAATGTTTTCAGATTGCAAAATTTGAATCGAAGGACTCGTGAAGATTCTTGAATTTAGCTAATGCATTGTGAAGACCATCAGTAATAAAATAAAAAGATGATAGCAATCAGTAATAATACGATGATAGCAAACTGGTTTGCACGGCTAAACCCATCTTTTCCAGCTGTCTGTGAGAACTGTGAGTTGGTTAGATCTCGTCTGCTGCTTGTTGAAACAAATAAACCTAGCCACATATTACTGTCGCAACCAGCAAAGCAAATGATGATCGGTAGCGAACGACTCCATGCATATATATAACAATAGACTAGGGTCACCTACTTGTCCGGTGAAAATGGACCAAATGCAAATCCATTAAAACCCTACTTAGAAATTCTCGAATGTCCTAAAATGTTTTATGACTTCAAGGTTATGTCGTATAACTGTACAAACTTCAAGGGCAAATTCGATTAGCTTTATCAGATGACAGATTCCATAAGTGTGGTTGCACTCTTGGCGGCTACGATGCTGAATGGTCCGCGAAGTTGTCAGGCCTGCAGAGATGATTGAACTGCGAGGTCGTTGAGCCTGCGGAGATAGTTGGCCCCTGGTCTAGCAGTAGCGCAACAGTAGGCTATTGTATGTACCATGCGAAGATTTAAGGAAAAAAGTTTATTCTATTTTCATTAATAGTATGATTTTTCTCCTCGAACTAAAAACAAGACATCTTACACCGAAACTTTTAAAACCGTTCAAATTATCTCTCTGCTTTGGAGCGGTTTTGAAGACTTTTTTTCTCTCCTTTCGTTAGTTAAAAAAATCGGCACATACTTGCTAAGATTTTTAAACCTCAAAAAATGTCTCTTGGTTTTTAAAAATTCTAGAAGAAATCTAGAGAAAGATTGGGATACGACAAATCCAAGTAAAATAGTTAGAGCTCAAGAAAATATCTCTAGATACTTCAAAAATAGATTTAGCTATAGGAGAATGGAAAACATATCCAAAAAAAATAATAAAAATCCTCAAAACATTCTAATTGACATGTAAACAAGTTTTGAAAACTTTCAGCAACAAAAACATAATATGCAACCAACACGAATGCATTCAACATTAATGTATGTTGTACTCTCTCCGTCCCAAAAAGAACGAAATCCTATGTTTCAAAACTTGTCCAAAAAGAATGTAAACATAGTATTGTATGCACTAGATTTTTTGGTATGGGACCCATCTGTCAAAAAATATAAACTCCAGATGCACCCACCGCCCAACATCCATATCCATGGTCATTCTCATCTACACGCCTCCATTTGTTTGCCTGATGAGTAAAATAGAATATTTTGAACATGTGTGGAACTATCCGATGCAACTATTGCTTCTGTGAACAAGCACATTGGAGGGGCACATGCGTAATTTTACCTTCACACTAATCTTACATCAGTACTCGAGATTTATTTACATATTTTCTAGGATAGAGAAAGTATTCATGCTGTTTGCATCTTATATTTTTCCATGAAATTTTTAAAAGCATCTTTATACATTGATTGGAATGTTTTAGGAATTTTCTAGAGTTTTTTTCTAAATATTTTTCCATTTTCCTAGAGCTAAACCTAATTTTTAGAAGTTTTTAAAGGTGCTTTCATGAGCTCTAAATATTTTACTTAGATTTGATGTATTCCAATCTGTCTCTTGATTTATTTTTGTAATTTTAAAAACTTAGACATTTTCTATGTTTTAAGAACCTTATCAAGTATTTACTCCCTCAGTTCTAAATTATAAGTTGCTTTAACTTTTTAAGTATATCAAATTTACTGTATATCTAGACATAGCGTATGTCTAGATACATAGCAAATTTGATGTACCAAAAAAGTCAAAGCGACTTTAATTTATAACAGAGGGAGTATCAACCTTTTTTAACTAAGAAAAGGACAAAATCGTCTTCAAAACCGCACTAAAGTAGGGCAGGGAGGAGCTTAACTGGTTTTGAGAGTTCAAGGGAGGTAATGTCTAGTTTTAATTAGAGTGAAGAGAAAATCAGACTACAACAATAGTCCAAAGAGCTAGAATCGACTTTTCCCAATATTTAACCCAAAAGCAAAGTTAGTGGGCCCAACAAAAATGCTTAGTGATAAAGAGTCTAACGTAGGGTATTTTAAGTCCTCGAGAAGGAGATAGCGGATCGACTGAACCCCCGATCGACTCTGCGAATCACTCGGGGGCTATACCCATCGGGTAAGCTCGCGCGTACCCTCTAGTGAAGTCAAATGGCTCGGCGGCCTGTAGAGCGCCCTCCCTCAAGGAGCCCCATGATGTTAGAAGGGTGAGCCCGAGCATGCCAGCAACCATCGCCGGGGCTCGGCCATGACCCCAGGGACCTTGACCGACGGGGAGCTCGAGCCATGACCCCTGCTCTGGTTACCATTGCCTTCTCTCAGTAGCTTGATTTTAAGAATACATCAGCCACTCACAAATCCTTCATTTCAAATTATTGGACTAGAAGTCCTTAACCTCATTAATCACATTAAGGATGGTTTCAAAGAACAATATGTCTCAACATACAAACTCAAGATCACACCTTCGACCCCACCTTAGTGATAGTATACACATTTTTCAGCTTCGCTCACAACAAAGCTAACATATGTTAAGATTTTGTCAAAGCTCTCATGCCATTACTTAGGTGCTTGTTTGAGGCCATATAAAGACTCCAATAGTTTACACACCATGCTTTCTTGATTATTTGCTACAAACCCATCTGGCTGATCCACATAGACCGCCTCCTCTAATTCTCCATTTAGTAAAGCTATCTTAACGCCCATCGATGAATGAGAAGGCCAAGAGAGTCTGCTAGGGAAAACACTCGAATTGTGGTCAACCGAGCAACGGGTGAATAAGTATAAAAAAGTCATCGCCTTCTTTCTAGGTATAACCCTTGGCCACAAGTCTTACCTTGTACTTCTCAACAGCATCATTAGGCCTAAGATTTTTCTTGAACACCCATTTAATCCTACATGTACACAATAAGGACATTCAATGACTTCCCAAGTTCCATTAGACATAATAGAATCTATCTTACTCCGTATTGCTTCCTTTCATAAATTACCATTAGGAGAAGAATATGCCTCTTCAATGGTTCTTGGAGTGTCATCCACAAGATACACAATGTAGTTATCACCAAAAGACTTTGCAGTCCTTTGTCTCTTACTCTTTTGAGCAACACTACAGTGTCATCCTCCTTATGATTTTGCACATGAGGTTCCTCAATGTGTTGTATCAGAATAAACTACTCATAGGGTATTATAGGTTCATGAATAGATGTGCTAGGTGTATTTTTCATAAGAAATTTACTTTAAAAAATATAGCATCTCTAGACTCCATAATAGTATCAACATGCATGCCAGGCACTCTAGAGTTTTTATTATTAAGAACCTATATCCAACACTATGAATAGCATAACTAAGGAGAACACAATTGACGGTTTTAATTCCAAGTTTGTGTTTCTTGTTAATTGGCACATTTACCTTGGCCAAGAAACCCAAAGTGCACAAATAAGATAGATTTAATATTTTCTTTACCCATTCCTCGAATGGTGTAATTTTTTTATTCTCTGTAGGAACTCTATCAAGACATGACAAACAATCAACATAGCCTCACCCCACCATTACTTAGATAGTCCTTCTCTAACATGGCGTTAACCAACTCAGTTAGAGTAGTGCAGTTCTTTCTTTCGGACGCTTGAATGAAATCGAGCAAGTCCTTCAACTGAATGTAATCTTTTTCACCATCTATTCTTTCATTACTTACCCACTTCGGGTTCCCCAGGCATATCCCGCAACATAGAAAATGGATAAAGAGAGTTGACATCATAATAATGAAGATTTTCACCATATGGTATATATACATCTGTGTGACCACCATAGTACCCTCTCTTAATAAATTTGTCTTGGTTAGCTCTTAGGATTCCTATCTGCCCCCTTTCTTCCACTTGCTCAAGCCTGCCCCATTCCATGGCATTGTGTGGCAAAGGCAAAGCTAGAACAAATTCGAATGGATGCACTTGTCTTATGGGTGTAACACTAGTAGAGAAACGACT